AAATGAGAAATCTTATGAATGTGAGTAATTACCACCCCTCTCCGTGTCTCAGTAGAGTTACAAGTTCGTCTTGTACAGTTTTTTTTTTTTGATCGCTCATTTTTCTGCTCTTTGGTCTGCTGTTTCTTAATCATTGAGCCAGAAGTTCAAACATTTTACACTTTTCACATTTCGCCTTCTTATGAGTACAACAGTGAACTTTTCTGGAATAGAACACTGCAAACACAAGCTTATTATTGCCTCCATTTTACATTTGTGCGTTGGGATGGCCGAGGAGGAAGGCAAAGGTAAAGGGACAGGGGAAAGGAATAAGGCGGTAGGGAAAGAGAACAGGAGTTGCTGCAAATTCGTTTAGGAGGTGTTTTAGGTACCACAAATCTCGAGAGGGGTACGTTCATGGGTTTGAATTTGGTTATTACGCATAGCTGAATATACATATCATTCACATGAATTCCGCAAATTCGGGAATAAAGTAATCACTGTTCTTGGGATCTGTCAGATGCGATGACGATGTGGGATCGATTTTTCGTTCACTGTTGTGATTACCGCACCACGGGCAGTACATACCATGCAAAATATCAATCCATTGCAGAAACATTTTTCACGGTATATTCACTGACCACTTTTAATCTGAAAAATACAAACACTAGTACTAATTCCCATCTTTTTCGTGAAATAATCAAGAGCGCCAGCAGGAACTTCCTCCCCGGCTAAGCTTATGCTTATGTTGGGTTCACCGGTCCGGACGCTCAACTCGATTGGCTGGGTACTGCGGCCTTTCAGATCGGGTTCGGTCCCTTGGCAATTATTTGGGGTTGCAACGGGGTGCTCGTCCTTCGTAAGTCGTCCTGGTCGGCACACTACACGGGAACGATCGACGATGCTAGACGGAATTGACACTGGTCGACATACTACGCTAGATAAAATAATACCTCCAATACAGATACGGCGGCCTCATATAGCCGTTTTCGCGCCAATGCACGACCTACCTAGGAAGGGGTCATAATGCAACACTTATAGTGTTTTTTTTTCAGAAAGGTTCAGTGTGTTGTACTCAGAAAGAGACAGGATGTGAAAAGTATAATAAGTTCTAAATTCGTTTTCCCTTGTGGAGCATTGTTCAAGAATTTCCCCCGTTGCATTACCCACTGCTTTGCCTCTCTAGACTCTGTTAATTTGATTTGAATGATGAATCATGCGAGCGTCAGTTTCCAGACATGTTATTATTATTTTTATCATTTCACTGTCATTATTATCATCATTGGTTCCTTGTTGATGATAATAATGATAGTGAGATGATAAAAATAATAATAATATCAACAAGTCTGGAAACAACATGCTATTATTAGTCATTAGTCATTTGTTACGTGTTTTTGCTTATATGTAAATGCAATCCAGTCTGGAACCCG